AGAGTAGCTCAGGACAGCTGGAGCCGCAGGAGCATTGAACAGGAGCTGGAGGTGGCAGTGAGCCAGAAGCAGGAGTGGGAGAAATGAGGCAGAAGTTAGAGGGGTGAGGAGCAGAGATTGGAGCAGGGCCAGAACCGTAGTAAAGCAAAACCCAACTCAGGGTCCAAATAACAGTTTTATTAAATGAACACTGTATTGTACAGCTTGGTCCCCACAAACACTCAGTGGAAGGGCTGGAGTCCAGGTAGGGAAGAGAAAAGGAGTCCAAGTCCTTGGCTGAGGAGAGGGTGGGGGTGATAGCTGCCTATCCAGGTGGGGAGGGGGTCCTCGATGGCCAGTCGGGGTCTTTGCCCAGCAGGTGTTGTCCAGAGGGGGTCGCTGGCAGGGCCTCTGGGTTGATAGGCAGCGTGACATGGAGCAGGTCTGCTCCAGGTGAAGATGGTATCCCAAGGAGTCAGTCTTCACTTTCCCCTCTTTATGGGGCAGACTACCTATGATCTCCTATGGGGAGGGCATGTCCACGCAAGGTCAGCTCTGCTCCAGAGGGCTCCAGACGTTCGTGCTGAGCATGTGCAGCCTTGGCACAATGGTGGGTTGCCTCATCTGTTCTTTCTTGAATGTGGAGGGTGGGTCCAATGGCGGGGTCCTTGGTCGAGGTATTGGTTTTGATGGTGGGATGATTTAGTAGGGGGCCCTGGTATCATTGTGTTTCACTCATCCATTCCCTCTTTTGTTTCAGGCATTCAAGGAAAACCAATTTACAGAGGAGGGGTAGGTGTGAGTCATAGTTGCAATATACTGTACAGGGCAGGGGACACAAGGTGGGGGTTTGCCATTACTTTACAGACAGAGGCCTAAATCATATAAATTCGATATAAAACAGTAGAAATTAATTAAAAAATAATAGGAACATAATATAATACAATATAAAACAGTAGAAAGCAATACAAACAGAATAAAACATTATTTACGGTATAAAAAAGGGTCTTCTTACTATGTGGGAGTATAAGATCTTCCCTTAGCTTAGCTGGTATTACTTGTAATAACATATAAGGAATAAAGAGGGCAGACAGAATGCCAGAAATGCTTAGGGGAAGGGGAGGGAGTGTATTTTAAAATACAAAAAAAGGAAAACTAGGGTTTTTGCTACATGTATGTGACAGTGTGAAGGACCTCTTGCACCAGGTAAAAATAATTTTCTGTGGTTTAACAGTGAAAGGCTGCAGTGACATCGAGTCAGCAGTTAAGGATTACCAAATACTAGCTCATGCTGCACCCGGATGGCTGAAGACGGCAAGCAATGACCCTCCTGAAGATTGCAGACCACAAAGCCTGTTCTATGTTTTATGTTCCAATAAATGTGGCGTCGTGCCTTATCCCCTGGTAAGTTTTCTGTTTGTTTTTAATTCACACTGTCCGCCCTGTACACCCAACAGGACGATCTAGTTGGGGAGGGTCCTGCTTTGAGCAGGGGGTTGGACTAGATGACCTCCTGAGGTCCCTTCCAACCCTCATTTTCTATGATTCTGCAATAAAGTCTTGGCACATGATGCACATGGGGCTGTGGCTATATGGCCAAGCATGGCCCCAGGGACAACCCTGACTGCAAGCCTGGAGTCCACGCCAAGCAGCTTGTCAGGGCTCGGCGGTTGTGGGCTGGGGCCAGTGCCCCCTGGAATACTCTAACTAGCAGCTCCCCTCCCCCAGCCTCCCTCCCTCCCGTCCCCCCCAGCAAGTGTCTGGGTTTCTTTCAAGGACATAGCAACTAGCACCCAAATGCCTGGGATGTTTAGGAGAGAAAGGTTTTCTTTCCCTTCAAACACATTGTCTGTGCACTGATTTGAGCCTTAGCCGGGGTGCTTTGCTACCAGCCACAGCCCCAGCAACACTGGAAACAGTTTTCAAGGGCCTCCATCATGACACTGGTGGTGGTGGTGCTCAAAAGGCTCGGAGCTGGGAGCCAGGCTACTGCCTTGGCCCTGATCTCCCCTGAAGGAGATGTGAGAAGGAGTGACACTGGGGTGATGAGGGAAGATCCCTCCAGCACTAAGAGCTGTCTCCTGAGAACAACACAGTGACCAGGGGCTGGCCTGTGCCACAGACTCTGCTCAGCAGTGCAGGGTGCAGGGCTCCATTTCCTCCCTGGCTGTCTGGGTGGCCTGGGATTGCCAGGCTGGGCTTTGGACTGTGGCTTGGATGCTGCATGGCCCAGTGCACAAGACTTTCTCGGGTCAGGCTCCTTTTACACTGTTACTGGGAGCTGCTGGATCAGTGGGAGCTATTTTTAGGGTTAGGGTCAGAGAATGGGAAAAGTTGAGAGCTGTCATTGTGCTTGGGATGAGTGGCCTCCTGGGGTAATATTTAGCACGCAGACAGGTAGGCTTGTCTTGGCTATTATAGGGGGGAGGGGCTCTGGGGCTCCCACCGGGGTTGGATTTGGGAGGGTTCATGGTGGTGTTGGGCTCCACAAGGTGCATGTGGGGTTTTCGCAGCAATTTCCTGTAGTCAGCTTGCTCAGCGTCTCCTGCCTGCGGCTGCTGGAGCAGGTTGAACTGGGGCTGGGGCTGGGGCTGAGGTTATAGTTCGTGACTGAGAACAACCAAGTGTGGAACTGTCTTTCTGCTTGGGATTAGTAGGACTCCCTGTTAGTGCTGTATTTTGGACAGAGGTGCATGGCCTCTGCCATGGTGCTAGGAAGCTGGATGGAGCCTGGGGACTCCACTTAAGAGCTGGATCCAGGAGGTGTTTTGGCAGCACGGAAATTTGCAGCTGGGCCTAGAGATGGGGTTTTGGACCTTCCAAGCCAGTTGCGGTAGCCAGGCTGCGTGAGGTCTCTGGCTGGAGCCGGCTGAGCTGTAGTTAGGGTCTGGGTTGGGGTTAAGGTAAGGGTTAGGGAAAGGATTAGAGGTGCCTTCCTGCTTGCACCTGGTTGGACTCCCACAGAAGTGTTTTGGGCATGGTGAGGGAGGGCAGTCTATGCACACACATAGCGGCCTGTACTCCAGGGCCCCACATCTGGGTTTACGCTGGGAGACCTGCCAGCATTGGGTTGGCATTTAAAGGGGTAGGTGACTTTTATCTCCAGGGCCCTTCCGCAAATAGGAAATGTGTAGGCTGGTCTCTAACATGCTGCTTGTGGGTTTTCCAGGACAGGTGCTGACATGAGGCTGGGCTTCCTGGGGTTGCTGGAGTAGCTGGAGCTGGGCTTTGTGTGCAGGGTTGGTGCATGGCCCTCGGTTTGGTCTCCCGCGTCTGTTTGGAGAAGCGAATGCAGACCAAGCCAAGGGAGCGAGGCAGGGGTGCACCTGGTCAGCAAGGGTACATAGCGGTGTGCACAGCTCGATGCCAAGGGGACCGTACCCATTGCTGATATTGTCACAGGTGAAAAACAAGGTGATTCTGGCCAAGTGGGTGAGAGAACTGGGCATTTCCTCCACCTGCCCTCGATTTGGGGCCATGCCAGGTCTGGCATGAGGCATGTCCATTCCCAGGCAGTGTGGAGAGGGCGAGGCGGAAATTGGAGGCTGGGCTGGGGGCCGGAGGGCTGCAGCGCTGGGGTGGGGGAGGGGCGGTGGAACTGGTGCCCGTGCGTTGCCGCGGCAGCGCTCGTATCATCGCGGCGCTGCGGGTTCCGGGCAGTTGGAGGCGGAGGCTGGAGCGGTGCTGCCGGGTGCCCGGTGTCTGCAGGGACACGGGTAAGGCGGGGGCGCAGAGCGCTGCCCCCTCTCCCGGAGGGAGGGCGCCGAGCCATCGCCCCCACCCAGCACAGGCACCCGGAGACGCGGTCTCTCCTCCGTTTTAAAGACATCCAGAACTGAAGCACTATCCCGGGTCAAGTCCCCGGCTGAGCATTCATCTCCTCGGTGAAATCACCGTCCAGGGGCACGAGTAGTTCATGCGTGTTCATGCGATTTTGAAGTCCTGTCTTCTTTCTGATCCCAGTTGTCAGATGCCAGCTGAAGAGCGACACGAGAGCCGGTCGGAGGGAGGATTTCGCCCTGTGATCCTTCACTGAGGAGTGAGCAGGTCAGGGTCGGGTCCTTAGGCAACGCTGCCAGAGGCAGAGCTGGGGGGGAGCGAGGGTCTCTCTGCTTTCAGGCTTGTGGCCTGTATTCAGGGAGAAGTGAAGAATGAAGACGGAGCCAACAGGACCCTTGCTTTGCAGAGAGGGGCTGGCAACCGGCCCCTGCCAGCTGTGTGTGAGGGAGCAGGAGCTGGGCATGCTCTGGAGGCCCCCTCTTGCCCAGAAAGTAAAGTTTGCGCTCTAACCTTGCATGTGTTTTATCTTCGATTCAGCCACCTTTTCCAGCTCAGGTGTCACAAGGCTTTGAAACGCCTCCCCGGCCAAGGGTCACTTCCCCACCACGATGGCTGAAGCG